TAATTTCTCAGCTATATTTACACTGAGTAACTAGAGATGCAAATGTAGATTTGGGAATAAAGGTACTATTTTGGGTTTTGCATATTCCAAGGGGAAAAATGGCACCCAAAGATAAATTGGAACTAGACCTGTGATTTCAGAATTTCTCGCTTAAACACACTATTTGTAGTCATGATTCAGAAAGATATTGAAAACGTGCTTTGTCCATTGACTATACAAACAGAACTTGGCCAAGATTCTCATTGAAAGAGAAAAGAGAATATCACATCAAAGTCATGCTTCTGTGTTAATATTTCTCATAAACACTTAAATAATAAGAATTTTCATAATTTTTTAAACAAAGCTTAAAATTACGAGGTACTCAGGAAACTAATATTTTTCTGCTTCTTGTTCTCAAATGGATATTGCCTTTTACATATTGACAGCTTCAAAAATAAGTTCCAAAAGAATATGGGTATTTAAAAGACATTTTATAATATCTAAAAATATAACTTAAGTGAGTGATTTTAAGACCTTTTGAGAAGTGAATTATGACATGTAGTAATCTAGTGTATGAGCAGAAAAGAAGTAATCTAGGAAGAATATCCATTTAAAACAGTGCACTCAGGAATATTCAATATTATACAATTTCTCCAATTTACAGTTGCTGTTGAGCCTACAATAACATGCATCTGAGTGCAAAGTTAATACACGCTGCATGTTTTACATTCATAGAAGAAATCCAGCGTTCTCAGTCATGACAATGCTTTCTGCATTATTTGGCTTGGAAGATTCTGAATCATAAATATTCTCTGATTCCACTTGGATTTTAAGAGCCACAATGGCCTCAAGCTTCTATTAAAAATAAATCAGCAATAAAAATTACATGGTGAATGATGTATTCTATTACAAACACTAAATGCCTACATTTTTAGGTGACGAAAATGAAATGTGTATAGTCTAGAGAAGGAAAAGTCCGTAACTTTCTTCTGAAGTAGCTAGTTTTTGTGCCAGCCTGTGATGCGTTGGTTAAGGTGGCTGGATCCCTCATGGTCAATTGCATGGTTTCAGTACCGGACCTGGTGACTTGAAAAACATGCTGAGCACATGTGTGTACATGCCAAAAATTCTGCAAAAAAGGAAGAAATGGAGGAACATCCCCCATAAGGGATGCTTCTTCATTTCCTCTCACTCTCTCTCTGCTTCTCTCTCGGTGGTGAATGAACATGCTCTTGACAAACTAAAATGAGTCAATAAATGATAAATAATTAGTTTTGATGGTATCCTTCAATATGTCCCACATTAAAAGCAGCACTATAGGTTTCTAAAATGTTATAATGCAAAATTGCTAATTAAATCATTTCTATCAGTGATATAAAATTTGGGCACTGTTAGCAATGAATAGCCTACTGGGCTCAAAAATGACTCTTCCATGTAAATAAAAATGTTAACATTTACACTTTCAAAGTGAAAAGTTGTATTTTTTTCATTGCTTTAAACATTAAACTTGAGAGGCATGGTTTGAATACTATTAAATCATTCCTTTCAGTCCCTGAAAACTAGATATGACTTGGGCATTCTACTCATAAATTTAAAGTACATTCCATATTCTGAATTCTTTGTGTTTTTAAAATAAGGTATAATCTTTTATATTTGGCATTCAATGGCTTTAATAATCCAGACATGTACTGAAACTTTTATTTATTATATTTTAATGTTATCTTCCCATGTTAATTTTGATAGCTATGTACTAAGAAAATGTCCTTGCTTTTCTTTGACATGAAAGGCATTTATAATTTTAACTTTGTAAGTTAAATACACTTTTATCAAAATAGATCATGCAAACTAATAAACTAATAGAGTGTAAAACCAACTCGTTTCTGAATGCTCTGAAAATTCCCTTTGCCGTGAACAATGTGAGAACGTATTTTACTACAGCAAAATCTTGTAACACATTAGAAACCTACATCTAAAAATGAATAGATTTATTTTATGCATATATAACTATAGATGTTTCTTAACTAAATTAAAGCCCAAAATGAATTAGACAATAAACATCCTAGAGGCAAACCACAGAATCTATTCTAGCCAGTTTTAAGCAAGGGAGGAATTGAAAACAGAGTATTAGTAATCCCCCGGAATACTCAGGAAAGCAGAGCATTAGTCTCGGAGTCTGAGAAACCGGAAAGGTGGCCCAGCTGCACGCTCAGCCTGGCCTATCAGAGACCCTGTGGCAGGTGAACACAGGACATCTACAGTGTTCATCGTGGCTGCCCTTGAAAGCAGCATCCCCTGCCCGTCCCCACGCCTAGAGCAGGTGGGAGCGCATGTTCTAATGCACCTGCATTTTTCTGTTCTCCTTCGTGAAATGGTATCTTGCACATCCACCTCTTTGTATCTTATTTATTTATCTGCTCCAAATGGTGAGGAAGGCCAATGAGGGAGGATGCCTGTTTCCCAACTCAGGAAAGCAAAAACTCAAAAGAGAGAATTGGCAGAACACCGAAGGCGGTGTGAAAGGTGCTGAGTGACCAGAAAACACCCCAGACCCCTGTAGGCAGCCCTACCTATCATAGCCTTGCATTTATACGGCCCTTGTGCTGACAGGTTTTAAGCAGAAATGTCTAAAATAAAACAAAAAAGGGATATCACTTTCTTTTCACGTTGTATTTATAATGTTAAATACATTTCCAATATATTTTAATAAAGTGACAGTTGATTCACAGTACTTAAACAAAAATGCTAGGAGTATATTGGGAAATGGAATAAATTTCCCCTTTTTTCCAAGCTATTTTTAGATGTGCTTTGCTATTTTAATTTTTAAAGACCATCAATTCTGTATACATTATGGATGATGAGTATTTGTTCAGCCTAATAAAATAGAGCTTAAAGTGAAACAGAAAGCTTCTGAATATTTTTTTAAAGCCTCAAACTTTGTTCAGCCTTGGGACCAACAGATGGCATAAAGGTTATGTTGTTGGACTCCCACATAGTCAACTGTGGTTCGAGTCCCAGACCCGTTGGCTTACACTCATGCTGGGCGCGTGTGCGCGCTTGCCCAAAATCCCAAGAGGGGAAAGGAGGAGAAGGGACTGCAGCTGCCATGTGGCCATCCCCCTGGGGGGTGATTCTTCGCTTTCTCTCTCTCTGTCTCTCTCTGTCTTCTCTGGCGAGTGCACACATCTATAGCAAAAATCTCTCTTAAAAAAAAACTAATTAAAAAATGTGTTCAAACTATAAATTCCATCCAAAATAACTTTATTCAAAAAAACTATTATGCCAGAACTTAGATAATGTTTATGTATATTTCAGAGACCTCACTTATTAAATAATCATTTCTCTAGAAATCTCAAATGTCTATACAGAGCTGAGAATTACGAAGTAAAATAATTTATAATATCCATGTACAAGCAGTCCACAAAATATCACTCACAGTATATTCTTCAATTACTGCAACAATTTAAATGAGCTTATCTTTAAAGTCTTCAAATCTCAGCACCCTAAAATGCATGGCCTTATTGAAAAAAATAAAAATAATAGCTTGACTGTAAGGGTGCAGGTAAGGGTTGACCTAACCCCTGTAAGGATGGAGGTAAAGGTTGACCTAACCCATTAAGTAAATCTATGATGGTTCTTCTCTAAGGTCTTGCTTTCAAAGAATCCAGAATGCTCCTGGGACCACGGCTCTATAGAACCATGTTTTCAACATTGTAGATAATTGAACACTATTCTTCAGAACGTTGTTATCATATTCCTTGAGAAAAGCTCTTGTATGTAAGCATGATTAGAAAAACATCCACAAAAATAAAAAATAATTGGAGTTACCTTCTGTTTTTTATATATACTGGGATATTAAATAGAAATATTTGGAAGATGAAACAGAAAGGACTTGATTGCTGGAATATATTTTAGGGGTTCTTTATGAGGCAACAAAACTTAAGACAAAAGGTGATAGCTTTCTTGAGTAACAGTAAAAATATTCAGAGTCCACATAACCTCAAAGTCATTAAGGCAAAGGTCATCCCCCTGCCCCATGGCCACGATCTCCTTTGAAATTCCCTCTTATTTCTTGGAAGAAAGTCTATATTCTATTTCTGATTCTTCTCTGTCGCAAGAACAAATACTGTGTGTCATTTCATAGAACTAGTTTAAACATTATCTACGAATAAGCAGTGTCTATGTCTAGATGAATAGACACATTCTGTAAGATAATAAGCTACATACAAACATCATATTTCCAAACTAGCACTTACAGACCGGCCCCTCCCACTGATTTTTGTAGCTGTAGAGAATTCTGTTACTTAGACATACTCCCTCACACTGTCACATTCCCTGTTGATGACAGTCTGCTGTGACTCTGACATCACTGTGTACCTGAACTCACATACTGGTATACTACAAAAATGTTTCCTAAATGTGGATTATTAGGATAAGAACATTTGCATTTTAAACTTAACAGAGGCTTCCTCTAGATTTTGGGCCAATCCATCTTCTCACCAACATGTTGCCCTATGACTCATTGATCACACCAATGCAAATGATCCGGATCATTCCAAATGGTTTATAGTGCACCTCTAGTCAGAAGAATGGCGAGACCAACGTTCCGACAATTCTCTTATACTCAATACGCAGTGTTCATTAAGATCTCCAGCCTCGGGACCAGCAGTTAGTGTAATGGCTGTATCGCTGGACTCCCATGAAGTCGACTGCGGTTTGAGTCCCGGACCCAGTGGCTTAAACTCACGCCAGGCGCGTGTGCGTGCGTGCCCCCAAGATCCCGAGAGGAGAATGAAGGAGAAGGGATTGCGGTGTGGCCATCCCCCCTGGGGGGTGATTTCTCACTGTCTCTCTGTCTCTCTCTGTCTGTCTGGTGAGCGCATGCGCCCTATAGCAAAAAAAAAAAAACTCTCCAGAAAAAGAAAAAAAGAAAAAAAAAAGATCTCCAGCCTCCACTCCACCTAGTCTAGAGTATATCTGATGAAATACGCAAATTTATAAAGCAACGCTACTCATGTACTCACATTGATGTCTTCCAGATCTAAGTTATTGAGGACGATGTTGTTCCTCTTCCAGATGATGGGAGGTCTCAGGGCTCCCTGGATGGCACAGCTCAGGACAGCACTTTGTCCCACGGTGGCTGCAGCAATGCTCAGCCTCTGATCCTCGGGCAGACTCAGCTGGATGACCTCTGTAAAGATAAGGCGTCAGCAATGTTGAAGAGCACCTGCTTTTGTAAGTTTAATGAGGTCAGAGTTTCTAGATATTAGTAATTAAGACTTTTAATTTGAATACAAGAAATAAAGGCTCGTGATGAAATGAAGAAAGATTAGATTGTTTCCAATAAAAGGTCAGAATGACATTTCAATTTAATTGATTGACAACCATCCTCTCCAGGCGACGAACTATTAAACATGTGATAAATATCAGAAGTAGAGTGATAATAATCCTGGCACCCAAAAGAGAGATACATTATTTAACTGCCAGACCGACATGTAGTGTGTCACTGGCCCTGAAATAAAAACGATGCTGTTTACCCCGTGACAGATTTATACCGCAGGTGAGGTGAGCTCATTGCTGGCTGGCTTCAGAGGACACCAGCACAGAAAACGAGTAAAATGCTTCCTTCTGCTGGGAAATACACATTGACTTTAAAGAAAAAAGATTTATTGAGAAAGTGGGAGGAGAAAAAACTCAAGTTTGTCAGATAGCAACTAAGCGAAATTCTACTCACTGTCTTTGTCAGTGTTGCTACAGGACTGACACTTCCTGACCCTTAAAAATTTTAAGTCAGATATCCTATTTTTTTTTAAGGTTTCTGCCATAGGGCACATGCATTCACCAAGGGACAGTGAAAGGAAAAGTGAGAAATCATCCCCCGGGGGGTATACCACAATCCTCCTCCTGGGATTTTGGGCACACACACACATGCGTCCAGCCTGAATTTCGAGCAGCCAGGTCTGAGACATGGACTGCGGTCAGCCGCGCTTAGCCACTGTGCCACCTGCTGCCCCAGATATCCTGTTTCCAAATAACTCGTGGAAACGCTTCTGCCGATAATTACACTGAATCACGGAACTATCTGAAATCTGGTTTCCCTTCCTGTTTTCAGGCAATCCTTACACACCATGAAAATGAACAACCCTGCCATGGTCAAGTATCAGAAGACATGACTGGGATTAGACCCAACGACTTCCTATCCAAGAGAAAAGGGGTACTGACGCTCTGAGTGTCACTAACTTTTCTACACTAGGATCGCGTCTTGCATTTTGACTTTTCTCAGCCTTAGGCAGGGCAGACAACACAAAGGAACATTCCAATTTCAGTTTCAATGTGGGGAGCTAGAATAATCGCTCCTGATTCCTCATTGTGGCAGATGATATTTTTCATGAGGCACTGAGTGAAGAAAACGGTGCTTTCAATGTGTGATGAACAAGATCACATGTGATAACTACAGGTCCTCCCAAGCCCCTCTTCTCCCCTCGACCACTCTATCTTCGTTCCTCCTTAATCCCATCTTCCTCTTGAGGAGGAGCAGAGATGTTTCTCAACTGAATTTTATAGAACTATCAGTGAAGAGTTCTTGAATTTCTGGTGTCATCACAAAGTGCAATGATAAAAATGGCACATTTTTTTTCCATCAGGAGGACAGAATTGAACATCTCACACACAAACACACGCACATACCCCATGGCCTTGAACATATTGAGTGTTCATGCTTCGTGATCTGAGTTTATCAACGCAGGCTGATACACCATCCCCTGATGAAAATAGCAGGAAAGGACTGACACTCGTGAGTTGTCATGCGACATCTAGTCTCTAAACGTAAGACATGGTTATTTAAGTTACGATCGTGTCATGCTGTCTACGAGGGAGAAGTTCAGCCTAAATGTATCCCTTGGGGCACTCCATCACCAAACGAGAGAAGGGGAACGAGGCAGAAATGGCAGCCAGCACCCCACTGGTCCTGGGTGCGGCCAGTTTCAGGTCCCCCAGTGGCATTCACCCACATTCACAGGCTTCCTGAGTAAGAAGAGCAAAGTACGTATCTTCAGCCTATTTTTATCATATATAATTTCTCTCTCTCTCTCACACACACACACATACACTAAAATATTACTAAAAGAAAATGTCTTTGATCAATTAGGCATAGAAAGTTTAAGATCGCGAATGTAATATTTTGTATCTTTTTTAATATCACAAATTTACAGAAACAGAGAACATTGCATAAGGAAGAACTTACAGAGAAACATAATGATAAATAACTTTCCACGCTCAGTCCTGAATTCCGGCTTCTGGTTCCTCATCACATCATGTAAAGGACAGTGGGACCTCTGGTTCTAAAGCCACGTTAACGCTGCTTATTCTGACATTTAGAAACACGATCGCAACGAAGTCCCCTGGGATGGCTTCCCGAATCCCTGTCCGGTATCAGGTCCTGCCATTTGAGTTATATGTGCTTCTTACACTTACATATTACAATTCAATACTGTGATCATCTCAAGAGTAAATGCTGAGTCTTACCATAAGATTACATAAAACATCTTTCCAAAAGTTTTTTGTTTGTTTTTAGAGGATGCATAATTAAAATAAATAATGAACTATTCACTTAGAGAATGTTAACATGCACCGAAAAACTTTTTCTTGAATTTTAAGGCTACATGTGTTAATGATTTTAAATCTCTCTGTAATATGCATTATTAAATTATTAATTTTGAAAATTCTTTAGAACTTTTTCTGGCTATTTTATGCTGCATGTTTTCTCTCTTCACTGCACTGCTATATAGAGCTACATTCATCAAACCAATTATGTTAACTTGCTACTTCTCAAAATTAGGTGTTTCTTTTCTTAAATACTTTTAGCAGCAAGATGTCTTTTAGCTAGAAAACTGTCATTTCTATCTTTACTAGTCTTTGCGATAGTTATTAACTATGTCACAAATCTACATATGTTAACTACTTTTACCCTTTTTTTTCATCAAGAATAGTCTAGTGGGGGACCAGCAGTTAGCGTAATGGCTATGTCACTGGACTCCCATGTAGTCGACCACAGTTCGAGTCCCAGACCCGGCAGCTTAAACTCACACCGGGTGCATGTGCGTGCGTGCCCAAGATCCCGAGAGGAGAATGGAGGAGAAGGGATTGTGGCATGGCCATGCCCCCCTAGGGGGTGATTTCTCGCTTTCTGTCTCTCTGTCTCTCTCTGTCTGTCTGGCGAGCGCACACACCCTATAGCAAAAAAAAACTTCTCAAAAAAAAAAAAGAAAAGAAAAAAAAAAGAATACTCTAGTGAGGAATTAAATACTTTTTAAGAAGTAATTTTTTTCAGTTTTGTAGATAAATGAACAGTATCTAGAAATGCATTAGTAATCTGAAACAATAATTATGAGCTAAGCTATCATCCAGCTTAAAGTTGATTTTAAGGTGTATTACAATAGGTATTTTGTTCTCTAAGCGTGTGTGCATATTTTAGTGGTTGCAGTTGTTAATCTAGAAATTAGATTTTCAAAGAAAAATCTGGACAACCTAATCCTCTGTCAATTACGGTTAATCTGTGCTTGCATGGAGATGCATTCATGATGGCATATTTTATTTTGTCGCATTTTATCCACAAACATCGTATGCTAGTTATACACTGGCAACTGCTTTGCGGCAAACAGCACTGATCATTTTACTGCCCTCTTAGCTCTAATGATAATGCGGCTTAATGATCTTTAGTTAGCACTGAATCACCGGGTGCCGTGACAAATGGTAGAATAGGTATGACAGATGGTGCTGAGTGTTTTGAAACACGTCAGTACTTCTTTGACCTATAAACTCTTCCTCCTGTTGGAAGCTTCCCAAGTATTCAGTGACTAGAGTCTGAGCTCTGATAGTGCTTCTTCTTTATGTGTGGTAGTTATGAAGGCTGTTAATGCCATCCAGTATACCATTTTGCTTTTAACTACTTAGAAAAGCTAAGAGACAAGTATAGTTTACTAACAACTTACACCGTAACTGGTGAGTATTGATGAATCATTTATTTCAATAGCAAGTAGGCACTAGAAATAGTTACAGGAGCTGAGGTAAAAATACTATGTGATTGTTTAACATAATATAGAAAAAGAATATAATGTTATGAATATTTGTGAAACACCAGTTTAAAAGAGGATGATATAGTAATTAGACTGAAAATTTCTCTTAAATGTATGGGTATAGCAGACCTTATCATAGCCAGGATTCTGTTCTAAATATCTACATCGTCTAAACTTTCTAAGCACAAAGTCATGTTAAATATTTCATTTCATTTATTTAAACATGAGTGTCATAATCATATTTCCCTAATCCTGCTTAATTCCTATTGAAAGAATGAAGCCTAAAAGAAATTGTACCAACAATATTTCCAAATCACATGTATTTTTCATTTGTCTACTCCAATGAAAGGAATTGCTAATTAAAAGTAGATAATAATACCATATAAAGTCAAAAGTGATCATAACAAAAAGACACTTAGAAATCTTGGATGAAATAAATCTCATTACGAGAGAACCACAATTATTCAATAAGAAGCTCTTTAACTGGGAAATTCTAATACCATTCTTTGTCAAGAAACAGGTGTGATTTCAAAATAAATGTCACGGTTTATCTAATTTAGATATGCCAAAATACGCCATTTTATTGTGATAATTGCTTAGAATTTTTTATATTAAATGCTTATCTGTAAAATATATTTCAATTACAATTCAAATGATAAAAATAAGAACATTAAAAGAGACACCTAAGAAACTCCTTTCTGTCGGTTACAATAGATAATTTAAACTCACTCATCCACTAAAAACATAAAGCAATTATAGCAAAGAAAGAAACAAATATGGCTAAGTGCTAATAATATAGTCTTACAAGCATTGAAAATATAAGAATTTTTAGGTGGCATGGAAGTTAAGGCACTGGATCCTACATGGCTGATTGCATTGTTTGAGGTCTTGATCCAGCAACTTGAAAATCATGTCAGATATGTGTATGTGCATGGCCAAAAATCCCCAGAAGAGACTGAAGACAGGACTGTGGCATGGCTATAGCCCTTGGGAGATGATCTCTCTCCTCCCTCTCTCTCTCTCTCTCTCTCTCTCTCTCTGGTGAGCATATGGCCCTATAGCAAAACCCCCCCTTTAAAAAAAAAAAAGTATTATAAAGAATTACCCAGCCTTTATC